TAATAATAATAATAATAATAATAATAATAATAATGTGTTCTCCGATCCAAAAACCAGACTCGGACAGGGGTTCGATGTTGAGGAGAGGCAGCAAACATTAGCAGCCAAAGATGCTGGAAATGCTTATCCTGAATTGGGAAAGCGAGTTTTGTGTTCTCTCGCCTTCACAGTGGAATGGGAAGGCCGTGTTACAGCTTGATTTGAATGAAAACCTTCACCCTGGACTCACAGAACCATGCGAGAGCCTCTACCGGACAGCATTTCTGGGGCTTTTACCAATGTTGAACTTCCTGGATGGCACACCTTGTCCTAAGTGAAGAGCGAAAATGGAAAACACTCCTGAGAATCTGTGAATTCCACTGCTGGGCTGCCCGGCGCGGCCAGGTAGGTAGGAGGGCAACTGCCATGCAAAGGTTGAAAACAGGTCAAGGATGCGGACGAAGAAATTCTGACCTCAGGACAAGACTGCTCTGGGCCTGAGCAGTCGGCACCCTCCTGCACGGGACCTCAAAGGCTTTGTATACACTGATTATCAGGGTGTACTTGGGGGAAGACTGTAGCTGTGCGCGTCGTCAAACAGGTTTGACACAATTCAATTCAATCTGTCTGTGGCTCGTTTAATGTGGAGAGGTAGCGAGTCAAGTGCAGGAATGCATTCACCTTTTCTCATCCTATCGTTTGTGCTGTCTTCTTCCTCCAGCATAACACCTGGTCCTTACAGCTGTATTCAGTGCAACTTTCAAGTCAGGTACAGACAATGACCGGGTGATGTGTCTGGGGAAGAAGGTTGTAATCCACAGATTGTTTTTCATCTGTTCGACTCCATCATATTTGAGATATATCTTTTTTCAGGTGTATTTGGGTCCTTGTTACCGTCTGCACTCGAATAGTACACCCTGTCATTATCGCTGTATCTAGGCTGAAAGTTGCACCAAATACAGCAATAATGACTGGGCGTTATATTTGGGTGAGGACGGTAGTTCTTTAGATGGCGGGTGAGCAACTGTGTGTGAAACAGCAGACGAGGAGATGTTCATGGCTAAGCAAAAAGGCAATTTGCTTCCACATTTCTGATGAAATGATGCTACACTCTGCCCCATTGCGACTCTTCTGTTAGCCCTGCTTTTTCATCTTCCGTTTTTTCTTTGCGATTCCTTCTCTGTTTCAACTTACTGTCCTCCCAAGAGGTACCAACTTTTGGGCTTTGCAAACATAGCAAAGAATAGATGAAGGATTTACTGTTTCTAGTTCCTTAATCCTGACAACGAAGTGAAACTCGTCCTGACAGTGAAATGACGCTCGGCAACAGCTCATTCTCATGTGTTGTGGTACCTCTCTTTCGGCTCTCTCTGGTCTCTTATCTCCACAGTGCAGGGTTCTGAGCTATTTACTCTCTTGAAACAAGGTGCAGAAGTGCGAGCACCTGTAGCAGTGTGGGGTTAGAGGTGTTAGTATATGTCAAACCATGAACTGCGAAGGGGTGAGAGCCAGCCAACGCGAAGATTGGTGCGCTATTGCCACCGCTGCCTTCCAGCGGGGGGGAAAGCACTCCTTAACATGCTGTCCTGGAATGGAAGTTTCCTCATTTTCAGCAAGGTCAGTTGCAGGCCCTGATGTGAACCAAACCTGCATTGAATATCTTCTTCACGATAGCGAGTATGGAAACCCCCTTGCTGAAAGGCCCGCCTCAAATGGTACCCATCGTGCATTTGTTATTAAAATTTTTGAAACCTACAAGAGCAAATGGGACCATAGGGATTCTCGGTGCATTTCAGTAGCTGATTATGGGCATCTGAATTTCTCATGACAATCTCTAAGCAGTCTGCAACACGCTGTGCCCCTGGTTGTGTTGGCCCTGACTTCAGGTATAAAATACTATAAATGTTAATTCCAATCTGAG